CTTCTCATCTTTTCCATTTTTATTGTCTTCCCCGTGAATATCTTGGGTAATTACAAAATAATAATCAATGAGTAAATTATGTTTTATTAGGCAACTCTCCCTTTTTATTCATCTTTTTTTATACATTTGTTTTCCTAAGGTAGCAATGCTTTAAAATACTGTATTTTAATACCATTAAAAACACATATTTTAATTCCATTTTAGAGGAAGCCAAAACACATGCACAAAAAAAGGCTTTGTAAAATTTTGAGCTGCCCCAAAATATAAGATACTCAGTACATTATAATTTGAGATGTTTAATGAAATGTAAGATGGCCATAGTTTGAAAAAATCATGTAGAAGGAATGCCTACATTGATGGTTGTTTCCATTAAGATGTTTAAAATTTTTGTACATGGAGTGGAAAGTTCTCCTTCAAATTATATTGTGCTTATAAAATAAGATGGATGTTAGAAAATCATGTGTCAAGTGACTTTAACTAGATCTAATTATCAAAGATATAAAGGATCTCTCACATTGATAGCTCATTGAGAAGATCAATTATATTTGTAAACCTATAGTTGGACTGATCACGAAACAAAGAATCACAAAGTACCTCAGTCAAGAATGAAATTATGTCATTCAAAATTCTATAACTATTAAAAGGAAAATAAAATATTTATGAACATGAGTAATTTCATATCAATAAACTTGACAACTTAAAGACATGAGAAAAATCTTTAAAATCACCCAGAGGTAGAAAACATGAATCCCCTGAGTAAGTCCTGTCTATTAAAGAAATTAATATTACAGTTAAAAATTTCCCCACAAAAACAAAAAAACAAACAAAAAATTCCAAGGTCAGATGGCTCCGTTGGAGAGTTCTATGAAACACTAAGTGAGATATTACTAATTCTACACAACTCTTCCAGAAAATTATGAAGAAAATGCTTCCCAACTCATTCTATGAGTTCGGCATGCTCAGTGTCTGATAAAATCAGAAGACAGTATCAAAAAAGAAAACTACACCCATAGTCATAAGGATGACTAATACTTTAAAAATGGAATATAGTAAGTGTAGACAAAGACCTGTAGAAATGGGAATCCTGTGCTCTCTTGGAGGATAGTATAAAGGTGCAATCACTTAAATTTCACATAAATACCCTGAAAGCCTGTCTGTGTCCTGAAGGAGACCCTTATCTCCTGGGGCACAGGGCTTAGGGGCTGAAAATCAAATACATAGCTTCATCCTCTTCTGGCGCAATTACAAAACAAATTGAACTCAATGTCACAAGGTTTCTTCTGTGAAAGTGAGGGCTGTGATTGAGGGAGAATGTGGTGCCTTAAGATGGCATGAGGATATGTTAAAAGAGCCTTATGAAGTTGGAGACATGGAGCCAACAATTCTGATGAGTCCTTACTACCTGTGGAAGAGACTTCCTCACCCCCAGTAGCAGTGGCCTCTGCACCTTTAGTGCTAGCAGCTTCCTCATGCACCAGAGAGCAGCCTCTCCATCCCCACTAGAAAGAATTAACCCATATTGCATGACTATAATGTAATGGACTTCCCCGAAGCAGCAATTATGGAAGACAATCTGATTTTCTTTTAAAATATACCCCCAACAACATATCTTTGCTTCTAGACCTATAACTAGACACAGTCCCAACAGACCTTTGAAGTTGTGACCTCTGACAAGGTGAACCACTCTAGTAGAACATTTGAGGTTTTTAATGTACACAGAGAAGACTCTAGAGAAAAAAATATAAATGATGTTAAGGGAGTGGAATAATTGTGGAAGGAATATAAATTGGTTTGGGTTTACAAACCAGATATTACACACCTTGTGTTGCAGCTCACAGAGTTATGAGGGATTTAACAATATCTTTGGCTTGCTGGTTGGTTGGCTAAAACATTAAATTAAATGTGACTTATAGTAGAAATTAGAAATGCAAGACACGTCTTGGTTAAATATAGAAAGAAGGGATTCAATGGCTTAGGGAGTTTGGAATGGCTCAATGGATTATAAGAAATAAGTGTGATGGGAGGTCCAGCCTCCTTGAAGTGCTCTATAACAGTCTCTTTTTGGGTCCCTATAGGGGGCTTTGTTCACAAGCTCTATTTGCCAAAGATTCTCTCTATATCTAACCACTTAATAGTTTTAGTTCTACTGTGGTCATGTAAAGTTTACATTTGATTCAATTTTTATATTAGGTATGAAACATATTAAGGATCACATTTTTTTCACAGATGTCTGATTACTTCAGTCCCATTTGTAGAAAAGGCTATTCTTCTACCATGGAAATGCTTTTCTGCCTTTCTTCAAAAATCATTTGGTTCTTCTTGTGTGTATACCTATTTCTAGATTTTCAATTCTATTCCTATTATTACTGATTCTATCTCTCTACTGTTATCACACTCTGGTTATAAAAGCTATAGCATAAATATTAGTATTGGATATAGAGTAACCTCTCACTTTATCCATTTCCTTAGCATTTTATTTATTCAAATTGTTTTGCCATCTCATATAAATTTGATGGTATGCTGTGTATGCCAACAAAAATATGCTGGGCTTTAGCCTGAAATTCTTTTAAACATTCAGATCAATTTCAGAAGAACTGACCAACTTGCTTTGTTGAAGCTTCCATTTCATGAACATGGCATTTACATGTATTCAAACTGGTTTTGTAACAGTGGTTCCCAGGAAAAGGGAGGTTCCAGGTTCCCTACCCCACCTAAGGAAGGGTGGAGCTGAGTAGGGAAGAGGGGAAGCTGGAAAGGAGACTGAGGAAGGAAGGATGAAGGATGGAGAGCCAGAAGGAGACCTCGCAGGGGCTCATGGAGCAGAGAGAGCGGATTTCTGCCTAAAGAAGTTGCACTTGCTTCTTGGTCTTGGGATGGTTGAAAGAGATGTGAGTGTCAGACCTATGGGGAGGTTAACAATGGCAGTGTTTATCTTGATTTTGATTTTGCTCTTTTTCTTCCAGACTTATTTGACCATTTCTGACCTTACCTCTGGGTCCCCACCAAAAGGTGCTTTAGACTTGTGGCAAACTTTTAGGCCTCAGCAGTCCTGCTTTGGGCAAATCATGTTTGTCTGGGCATTTATCCACAAGGTGATGGGTGACTGAGGTGCTTGATTTGGAAACTATACTTTGTCTTTTCTTTGTTGCACACTAATTGTACTAAAGTTCCTTTATATTAAAGATTTTACACACTAGAGTATGTTTTGTCTTGATGTAGCAGATGCCAGGATCTATTTACAGCAGGCAGGGAGCTCTGGGGTGCCCCTCAACCTGTCCTGTAACAGTTTCTTTACAACTCTTGCAGATTTTAGCATATACCTACTGTATATATTGTGCTGTTAACTTTGTAAGCCTATTCTAAACTTTGTAAGACTTTTAATTTTGTAAGCCTATTCTATGAATTAAATGGTAACATATTTTTAATTTATTTCCATGTGTTGATTGCATATGGAAATATAATTTCAATTTTCTATGTTGATACTCTATCCTATGAACTAGTTGAACTTGTTTACTTCGAGGGCTTTATATTTTTCTTTATTTCAGTCACTTGGCATTTTCTTTGTAGAAAATTTTTCTGCAAGCAGAAACACTATTACTGTAGATATAGTCTCTGAAAACAGAGTACTATTTTTTTCAAGCTGTAAATATTTTTATTTTTATAAATTGAATTTTTTTTCTTACATCATGTAGTCCCCATAGTTCTCCCATTACTATATGAACCTGTGAGCCATCACCATAAACCTTTGTGTTCTTCCACCCGTTTTGACCCTCTTCCTTCACCCTCCCTTGCTGTATGCCTCAGACCCCTCAGACCCACAATCAGCTTTCCTGTTTTGACTTTTTCTTGACCTTTGTCAAACTGTAAACATTTTAAATCTTTTCTTCTCTTATGCTCTGGGTAAGATTTTCAGTAGTATTTTGAGGAAGACTGGAGAAAGATGGCATCTTGTCTTCTTCCTGATATTAAGGACGGAATTTTCATATTTGAATGTTCCATTTTTTTTGAAGATTTATTGTGCATTTAAGAACTGGGGTACAGACCAGAGGTGTGGGATTCACCAGAGACAGCATGGGGAACAGAACAGGTGGATTGACTGAAATACACTGCTGAGGGGAGCAGCGGGAGAGACAGGAGAGGTCTGGGGCACCATGTGGGTAGCTCCCTGCTGCAGACATTGTGGATGGCTTCAAAGTGCTATGTTTAACCTCTTGAACCACCAGGGAGGCCTGAATGTTCCATTTAATAGTTCTAAAGAATCTTCAATTCATTATGTAAGCTTAAAATCACTTTGCTGGTATTTTCTTTCTGCTTAAACTATTTCCTTTAAAATTTCTTGTATGTTAGGTCTCCAAAATAAATTCTTCAACTTGAGGAACTAATTTGAACTAATCTTTTGTTGATTATTTTCTTCAGTTTTTAATTAATGTATCCGTTAGGGTATTTCTCATCTCTGATACGATGTTTATTTTCTGGCATGTCTGTTGCCAAATGTGGGCTTTCTACCCAATGGCACAGAAGTCAGAAACCATGCCACCAGCTTATAAGAAAAGAACTAGTTTATTACAAGGTCACCAGACAGGAGAACAGAGGCTGTACTCTCAAATAATCTTTCCAAGGATAATGCTTTAGGAATTATTCATGGGGCTGTGGAATAAAATACTTACTAAAAAAATTCCAGTTGGCAATCTGATCAGTTGCTTTGTGTTAAATCATGGTTGAACTCGAATTTGAGTCCAAAACTACAACAAAACTGAATACATCTTGCTTCTAAATATCCATCTAGCCATGAGTTGGGCATCCTCAGTTCCATCTTCTGTGACTATTTTCTGCCCAGACAATGAGAGGTCACCTCAAGGGCAGTGAAACTTCTCTGGGCCTGTGCTCTAAAACACAAATGTCAATTCATGAAAAATCTGTTTTTCTCCCATTTAAAATGGATTTGGGGAGATGGATTTCGGGGATATGGAGTCAGAGGAACATTCTTGATTTGTTTCTAGGAGGATAATCTGAAGTAGTCAGAGTGACCTTGGACCTAGAGGATCCATGACTTGGGATGAAAATAGAGCCCCCACTAAACACTGGACACTAATGCCGATGACCACAGAAGAGACACTAAGGAAATTCAACCCCACAGAACAAAGGGTGAGTGAAAAGAAGTGCCTAGAGATGTGGTCAGGATAGGAACTAGTGGTTCAAACCCATGTCATCATGACAGAGTGGTCCTGTGGGGGGTAGAATTGCTTATTGTGGAAGCTTACACCTAACTGTCAGACAAATTTGGAAAAATGCTGTGGTTTACCTAGGGGGTAGGGTGCCCTGAGATGGTGATAATGATCAGAACAGTGCTGCCCCTCAGGACTCGAGCTGACCCTTTGAAGAGGTGCTGAAAGTCCAGTTGATTTGTCGTCAAATTTTGTAATCATATATTAATTGCAATTATTCTGAAGTCTTTTGTTACTTGCAGAAGTTGCTTACTCTGCTTTGTAAGTAGAGAACTCCACAGGAGAAAGTCTAATACGCAATCTGGAACTATGTATTTTAACCTCATTGTTCATTTTTTTTAAAGATTTATTTATTTATGCATACAAGAGCTGGGGTACAGGCCAGAGGTGTAGGGGGTGAGAGAATTCACCAGAGACAAAGTGGGGAACAGAACAGGCAGATTGACCGAAATACACTGCTGAGGGGAGAAGCAGGCAAGTCAGGAGAGGTCTGCTGCGCCATGTGGGTTGCTCCCTGGCCAGCCTGGGAAACAACTCGTGCTGCAGAGGCTGTTTTTTGCTTCATAGTGAGGTGCTTAACCCCTTCCACCACCAGGGAGGCCCCTCATTGTTCACTTTTGTACAGTTTGCTTTCTCCTCAGGTGTAGTCCCCATAAAATTCCCACCACCAAATCACCCATGAGCCATCACCATCGTCTCTTGTGCTCTTCCCACCCCTGTTTTATTCCCTCTCCCTCTCCCTTCTGATTTATAGTTGCCTGCTAGTTTTGTCCTTTTTTCCCCCAATCCCTTATTTAGTTCCCCTATATTCTTCCTATAAGTGAAACCATCTGATATTTTTCTTTTATCCTTCTGGCTTATTTCACTGAGCATGATCCCTTCCAGCTCCATCCATGTTGCTGCAAAAGGCATGAGTTTATCTTTTTTGATTGCCAAATAGTATTCCATTGTGTATATTACCACATCTTCTTGATCCATTTATCTTTTGGGGGCATTTAGGTTGTTTCCACATCTTACCTATTGTATAGAATGCTGCAATAAACATAGGTATGCAGGTTTGTTTTTTTGTTTTTTTTTTTCAAATTAATGTTTTTGTTTCCTTTGGGTAGATTCCTAGAAGTAGATTTGCTGGGTTATACGGTAGATCCATTTTCAGTAATTTGAGAAACTTTCACACAGCTTTCCATAGTGGTTGGACCAGTTTGCACTCCCACCAGCAGTGCAGAAGAGCTCCTTTTTCTCCACATCCTCACCAACATTTGTTGTTGCCAGTAATTTTAAACATGTACCATTCTCACTATTGTAAGGTGGTACCTCATTGTGGTTTTGATTTGCATTTCCCTGATTATAAGTGATGTTGAGCATCTTTTCATATACCTATTGGCCATTTGCATAGAAAAACAGATTTTTTATGGAACTGAGTAAAAATTATAGATGCTTAAGGAGAAAAAGGGATTTACAAAAATTGCTAACAGACTATCTAGATTTGTTGCATGGGATTGAATAAACTGTGAAGGACTAATGTAATAATGATTTTTTTTGAAATACTAGCTTTTAATGTTTTGCTATTTGTTTACAGAAAATATTTTTTTAAACTATGACCTACAGCAGTGGGAAATTGTATTTTAAGTCAACAGAATTTTATAGGATGAACTATTCTGTGTCTGGTTTCTATTGCTCATAATCAAATTTGTGATGATAATCTACAAAGACAAGAGCAGACACTTAAAATAAGAGAAAAATACATAAAGGTATGATCAATCTCAGAGATAATCAGAATTGAGCATGTAAAATAACATAGGAAACCTTTCTAATTTTATTGTTGAAAAAATTATTACCAAAGTGAAACCAGTTGGTAACACATGGTGAAGATAATGTTGGGAGGAGCAGGTATTTTGGAGTGTGGCATCTGAGATGAGCAGTGAACAGCTTCAAGGAGGGTAATTATTAAATAGGTCTTATAATTTAAATGTACTGAGATTTGACAAAGAAATAATCAGTTAGAGATTTACCTTATAGATATGATCCAAGCATATATACTGTATTAAGTACTATTCATTGCACTATTTTTCTATAATTGCAACATTCCAAGAGAAACCTAAATATCATTTGAAATGAAACTGGTTTATTTGCAGCTACTTATAAAAGTGAGGCAGCTCTTTATGCTTTGATATGGATCAATCTGCAAGATGCATTTTAAGTTTAAAAATTAAGAAAGAAATAGTAACTATAAATTTGACCTATAGTCAAGTAACATTTGGTTTAAGAGATAGCATGAGTATGGTTGTTCTTTCCTGTATTATCTCTGTTCTGACAGCTAGGAAACTACTGGAATGTTTGCCTTTGAGAATGGAACTAGGCAAATAGAGGACAAAATGGACAAAGGGAATTTGTCCATCATTTCATGTCTCTTAATTCTGAATAACATGAAGGCATTACTTACCTATTCAAATAAATGGAATTAATTGATTATCAAAAATAAATAAAAATCTCTCCATCAAAATGAATTCATTTACTCCATCAAAATGAATTCATTTTATGTTCTCTAATTTGGTTCTTGAAGTTTCAAAATTAAGCTTATTTTAGGGAGTTAAAATGTATAATATGTATACCATATATTGATATGTATAATATACATCAACATATACCTTATATAGTAACATATATGCTTAAAGCATATAATGATATATGTTATATATAATACAGATATATATATCTCCTTGTTCAGGAATACTTGAGATGCCATAATCCTTCATAAATCATGCATGTTGACTAATTTGAATAAATAAGCTTTTTTCCTAACAATTAAAAAAATTATTGACCTTGATTATAACAAGTCATTTATTATCAAGACAAGTAAATTTCTTTTCACAAATATAAAAAAACACTCTGGTACAATCAGCAGTAGCAATATTTGTTAACTTGATGTATCCACATTTGGCAGCAGGGGTACTTGGTTGAAAACTCCTACAGTAGAAAACATACTTATTATAGAAAGTCATGCCTTAAGCTAAGTCTTTTAACACATGTAAAATGTAAGGGCGCAATTATTTCAGTAGACATATATAACCCAACATAGATATAGAGCTGTAAATTTATAATTATTTTAAAACAAATGGAAATATTGCAAATGATAATGAGAAAGAGAAGATTACAAAGGTCGGTGTGGAATGTGATACATGTGGATTAGATGTCAGATGTCACATTTGAAAAATTATTCTGAGACCATTAAATTTAATATAGAAAATAAATTATGTGACACATGGTAACAAGATAAAAATATTTCCAGTTTCCCATGTGTCTATAGCACTAGACTTGCTTTGAACATAGAAGCTGCTCATATGTGTTTAAAAAGCAGAGGACACATTTATCCTGAGCTTAATATCTTTCACAGCAAACACAGCATCAGAGTTATCCTACACACTGCTTCATGGCTTTCCTCTCAGCTCTTTAGACACTCTTCTCAGCAATGTTTTCTGTTATCCTTGCATCCCCATTTTTCAAAACTATTTTAATACTATTTCAAAAATCTGAGTATTTAAGAGTTCAGGCCGTAGATTTCCTGATGATCACTTGCTGCCTTGCACTAGTAACATGGTCTACACACTGAGATGACACAAATTCACACTCCACACAGATGTCTCATTGGAACTTCATAACCACCTACCAAAATGCCCTGGGTACATCCCATAGGAACTAAATGTTGAATAGATCCATCAAACATAGATACAAAAACAAAATCTAGAAATTCCTCATTAGAATTGATGGCAACAATGGCCTTATCATTTCTTAACCAAAAGCACTGAAATCAACTGATTTCTCTGTCTCACACATCTTTGAAATATTTATATTCTTTAATTTTCACCAGGACTAATATGCCCCTGTTCAACAACCCATCATCTTCTCTAAGTTGATGACTCCAACTAGACTTCCTACAGTGCAATTTATATCCCCCAAATGTACTCACACAAATCTAATCTTAACAATTATCTGGGTCTTTAAAACAAGAGGTCTGATTTTGTAAACCCTCTGCTCAAAACCCTCCAAAATTTTTTTCTTTTTCTTTCTTTTTTTATTTATATATATTTTACATCAGTGTTCATCTTTATATTTATGACCTCTCATGTCCCACATCTTTGTAGCACACAAGAGATAAAAATAGAACAAACTATTATTTTGCTGTCATTGGCATTTCCTTCATTACAGAATATGAAAAGAAAATGCCCTTTAGATGTGATTATTTGGGGATATGAGATTTGCATTTGGTTGCCTGAGAAATGGCATCAAATGGTGCTAAGCATGTCCCTTAAATCTCAAAAAAAAAAAAAAAAAAAACCTTTCCTTTTCCTATATATCATGTAATCTCTAAATTAGTTTCTGAGAAAGAAATGGAGAGGGAAAACTATGAAATGAAGACTTACAGCTTCCGGGAAAGTTCCACTCCATCCTGCCACAACCAGGGATGTGTAGTTCCTTTCCTGTGTAATCCAACCCAATAGTTGTATCTGATTCTTTGTTGAATGAATCGCTGTGAGCAAATTAGATTTACTAGCATTATTTATAATATCAATCATGACTATTTATCTAAAGAAGACTCTCAGAAAATACCTATAATTTCAAACGCCAATGATAATGAAGTAGGGTTGATTCCTCAGTTGTACAGGGAAGGAATCAAAATGAAAAGGTCTCAGTGAGTCACTCATGGAGAAAGAAACCAGGAAAGATCATGGTAGATTTAAAAATCTCCACAAATACTAGAATATGTAGGTAAATATGACTGCACCAAAGTTAGAATTTCTCTTCATCAGCAAATTGCCCAGCAGGCAAATTTTAGTTTTAGCAAACTAAATTGCCCAGTAGGGCAAATAAGTAAAAAGAAGTAAAAAGAACAGATATTTCACATGAAATCAAACACATTGTCAAAAATTTAGAAAAGTGCCTCATTCACTAGAAATCAGGGGAATGCAAAGAGAGGCTACAAAGATGTATTTTACAAATACTCAATTGTCCAAGATTAAGATGACAACAAGACACCAAGCTTGCAGGATGGTTAAGATCAAGGAAATTTCTTTAAACTATTAGAAAAATCTTATCAAACATTAATTTGGAACTACAATAAAAACAAACTTTTATGTTCCTTGTATTTTACTCTTAGGGTGACTTGCATTAAAGAGAAAAGAAGACATATGGAAGTTAATAAACATCCTTGACAATTTTCCCTATCTATGAAGTTGGAATCACAGTTTTGAACATTTTATTGCTGAAATAATTACATTGATAGAGCCTGAAACACCTTAACATTAAAATATTTTAATAATATATAGTTGGTATTCAAAAATTGCTTTATTTTTATAGATTAAAAGAAAACAAAAATTTCAATAATAGGAATCAAACAAGAACAGATTTATAAATCACAATGAAAAATAGGACGGTAAACAATTTCCTGAGAGTAAAAGAAAACTCAAATCATTTAAGATTGATAAATAAAAACTAAGTTTTAAATTGATTAAGGTATTTTAAGCTCTATCTGGGTTTATGTATTTGTTTGATTCCATATTCTATTACTTGGTTCATTCACTTATTAAGAGTGATTCCTTATATTGTTATTGTAATAATAAAAGATCATAAACAAGGACACATAGTATTTTTTAAAGATTTATTTATTTATGCATACAAGAACTGGGGTGTAGACCAGAACTGCAGGAGGTGAGAGGATTCACAGAGTGAGGAATAGAACAGGCAGATCTAGTGAAATACACTGCTGAGGGGAGCAGCGGACAAGACAGGACAGGTCTGGTGTGCTATGTGGTTGCTTCCTGGCCAGGTAGAGATCTAACTTATGCTGCAGTGGCTGGTGATAGCTTGCTAGTGCTGTGCCTTTAACCCCTGTGCCACCAGGGAGGCCCAACATAGTATTTTTTAACTCATCCTTCCTCATTTTCATCCTCAATCTCGATGAGACAAGAACCCTGGGTTTCACATGACTCCTTACTCTCATCCCAAATTTCCTTTGAAAACTCACTGATAAGTCACTAATAAAAATAACACTGATAAGACTTAAATTATAAATGGAATCCAGGCCTCATTTGAATCATTTGATGGAAATGTATGAAATCTGTTAGATTGACTTTACACTTCTAACCTTATAGTTGATAGAAATTAGAACTAATTTTTTCTCTTCCAGAAATGAGAGGGTTCCTCCATCATCAGGATTATGATGAAAACAATATTCATTTTTTGTAGAATCATTTGGGGTATATTCATTCTCTTTGTTTTTCAACACATTATTTCCATTGCAATGAAAGTATTCATTTTCACTTAGAAATGTGAACCTTCTCATTACAGTTTCCTTATTAGTGTGTGTGGTATGATAAGAAATGTCAAAAGAGACATGAAATTACATCTCAATCACACACTGTGCTCCAACCCAATGTTATCTGAAAACATAATACATAAATGAAAAAGAGATGGTGGAGGATGATGTGTGTCTTAGCAGTGGGTATGGTGCGGTAACAACATAGAAGTGGGAGATCGTATACACTAAATCATGTACAACAATATGAACCAATGATACCTCACTGAAACATATCAGAAAAAAAAGAAAAAGAAATGTGGCCCCTCTCAAATATTGATGGTAAAAGAATAAAACTCAGCACAATGAGAAGTATTCTCTTTTTCACTGCTATTCTAATTGAAAGGTTTTTCTTTTGTCCTGAATAACATCAAAGGCTAAGTACTGAGAAGTCTGATGCATATTAAAATCTGAAGATGGGGGCCTCCCTGGTGGCATAAGGAGTTAAGTCTCAGTACTATGAAGCTATCGGCAGCCACTACTGCATGAATTCGATTCGGGGCCAGGGAGTTAACCCATATGGTGCAGCATATGTCTCCTGTCTCGTCCGCTGCTCCCCTCAGCAGTATATTTCAGTATATCTGCCTGTTCTGCTCCCCACTCTATCTCTGGTGAATCCTCTCACACACACCCCGACTTGGTACTTCTGGCCCACATCCCAGCTCTTGTATGCATAAATAAATAAATCTTTTATAAACAAGTAAGTAAAATCTGAAGAGACATCACATATAATAAAAAGAATACAAACTATGCCATGAAACCCACAACAAAGCTTTTTCTTTGGTTTAAACAATGTTTGCTCTAAGTCTATATTACACCTGTGTCCACTAATCCATAAGTAAATCTCCACCAGTAAGTACAGTGCTTCAAGCCAATTAGCCCAATAATACCAGAGGGAAATATAAAGATTATATTAACACCCAACATAGGACATTGTCATAAAGCACTTACTCAGATTTAATAAAGTTAACATACCTGCTCATCCTCATCATCAATCTTAATGAGATGAGAACCCTGGGCTTCACAGGACTGCTTACTCTCATTCCAACTTTTCTCTTCCTTTGAAAAGTAGTAGCAGTTGCTTCCACAGCAGGACCAATTCCCACGACATGTATCAGGAGGAATTTGTTTATCTTGAGACACACCTCAAAATAATGCACATTTCATTAATACATATTTCATGGAATGGAAGTTGTTTATCTTGAAAATTAAAGTCAGTATGAATCTCAATGGCATGGCCATTTAGAGACCTCTGTTTTATGTATTTCATTGCTTACTGTTGATGAATTACCAGAGAATATGTGATTTTCCTGTGTCACAAAAATCTATATACTAGGAAAAGCTCCTCTCCAAATTCTGTAGATGAGAATCCTGTGGAGCCAGTGACTATCTCAACAGACTCAAGGCCATTGTTAAGATAGTACTGAGAGGGGCCTCCTCTGGTGGCTCAGTGGTTGAGTGCTGGGCTGCAAAGCTGCCCGCAGCCTCTGCAGCACCGGTTCGATCCCCATCCGCCGGCAAGGGTCCCACATGGCATGACAGACCTCTCCTGCCGTGCCCGCTGCTCCCCTCAGCAGTGTATTTCATCAGTCTGCTGCTCTGTTCCCCGCTCTGGCTCTGGTGAATTCTCTTACCCTCCTGCGCTTCTGAACCAGTGCTTGTATAAATAAATAAATAAATAAATCCTAAAAAAAAAAAAAAAAAGATAGTACTGAGAAATCTTGACTTCTCAAGTACAAATAGTCTAAAGTGATATGGAGCACTTCTCCTCAAGTTAGAAATCCATCAAAGTGAATATACATATGATATATTAACAAGGAATCTATACACGGGAACATTAATTCTAGGTACATACCACTCCAACAATTCTACATGACAATGAATGTCCTTGCGTTGGGAAAGCCAAGCATGATTACTTACAAACAGTAACTGCATTTGATGAAAAAATATGAGCAAAAGGAAAGTTCCTGCCAAAGTGCAATTGCGTTTTAATTACATCTAGAAATGGAGCAGAAAAGGATGATTCCATGAAAAACAAATTTGTAAACTTTGAGCTTAAGTATATTGTACATATTTGTATACACTGGTGAATTTGATTGAGTACAAACTTCTGGTGAGGAAGCAGAATTTCTTTCTGGATTATTCAAATTTTCACATTTGCAAGACTTCTGAATACTTTAATCCGTACTATAAAAATAAGATCATTGGTCCTTTAACATAGGTCATTTGTTATGATCATTTACTCAAATTTTAGATAATAGAATAAATCACATTAACTAAATGGAAATATACTCAGAACACATGAAGTTAAAATAATTGAAGTGTCATAAATTAAAAGAATTTTTAAATTAAAAAATATGCTACACATTACTTTTAAGGCATATAATGGCAAACAATATTTATAGAAAAAATATAAAAGAAAATATGGATCGACAAATATGCCGTCTACCTTTCAAATAAAGATTCCAAAGTTTGTGAAGTAGTACCAGTTATTCATTTAATTTTCAGTATTTGAAATCAAAGCTAAAACAGATGGCATGGCTCCTTATAAGTTTACTTATAAACTTATAAAGGATTCAGGGAATATACATGGGGAAATGCTCAGAGGGCTAACTCTAACATTCAGGAAAGGTTTCAATTCTTGAGAGAGATAACACCTCTTCAAAAAATTCACAGAAATATGTAAAAATAAGAAATTTATATGTAAAATATGAATATTTTAGAACATGAACTTTTTCTATAAATCACTGGAGATTTTTTATACATCTGGGAATCTTAAAATCCAACTCCCCTAACACCTACTATCTTTTGGCCAGATTCAACGTGCTCTTCAAAAATCTAACATCACAGTATCTTAATGTTCTCAAGTATGATAAATATAACTATTACTGCCATTCAATAATCCATTCCAATGGACATACATTGGACAAGATTTGAAAGATTAATAAATACCTCCAGCCCCAAATACTACCATTTCTTGTTATTATTCAATTTCCAGCTCCTTCCTTTTCTGCCTCCCCAAGGTCACAAACTAGAGAACTAATTTTAACAGGATCTACAATCATTGTACAAGTTAATCTTTATTCACATCTAAAAATAAATACAACTATGGTGATGTGATGGGAGAATTATGGTCACTACACCTGAAGGGAGAAATCAAATAGGTAAAAAATAAACAATGATGTAAAAAAAATTCTAAAGGAAAACAATAAAATATTCATTCATAAAAAATAAAAATAGCCACACCCAAATACTGTCACAAAACCACAGAGATTCAGGTTAATGCTGATCAACATTGATGCTTTGCACCACAATTTTAAGTACTAAGCAGTTTACTTCTTGAGTTGCACCCTTTTCTGAATTCAACAGTAATTTCAAATATTTAATCTTTTCCTAATTATCTGTTGCAAGTCATTGACTCCCCCTCTCAAAGATGGTCTCATCTGCCACTTCCATAGAGATAATCCCCATCGAGCATAAGTCATCCTCAACTTCTTGCTTTTCTCATAAAAGTACACCGGTATTCATGCATTCATGATAAAAAAAAAGTTTGAGTCCCACTGAACAAGCTTGAAACTCTCACCCCTAGTGAAGATCTCTCCTCTTTTGCACCATTAGTATCAAAATCTCCTGCTTGTCTGGCTCTTGAACCCCAAACATTTCCCCTCTCACGAATCTCTTCTCTTCATATAATTATCTCAAGTCACCTCTTCCATAAGAATCCCTATTGCTTCTTTTTCATGTCCTTTAAAGAGCTGTTTATTTTCACTTTTAGACCTTGGTTGCCAGGATAGGATTATTTATATTTCTTCCTTCAGGAGATACTTTCAACATGGGCCCT